TCTAATAAGTTGATTACCTATCGGACAAACAATTTTTTTTTTCTTTATAAAATTGTCCCACGTTTAAGTAAGCTAGAAAAGTAATCGACATAATCAACAACCCTATTTATTTTTGTAAGACATTACATCAAACAATAGTAAGTTTAATTATATCTAGGTATGTACACTATGTATATTTGTCGAATAGGTAGTTGATGGACCATTTAATTTCCAGTAGTCTCTGTAATCTTTGTTTGCGGGGTAAACATGTGCAAATGTAGAATAAAATGGGGCGATTATAAAGGAAAGTAGGACCAAAGTTTCTTGACTTTTAACCAAAAAGTAAGAATTTGGTGAAGACAAGGGCAACGTATGTTTGCATGGGTCCTTGGAATTTTGGAATTGTGACAATTACCTTTTGATATATACGTTCTCATTCATTTAAAATATAATATTGGTCCATTGTCTTAATTATTTATTTATTTATTCTAGGTATAGTAACATTAAGAGACTCGATCCAAAATTTTATATATGTTGCCTTTATGATTTCAATTTGAATTATATATATTCAATAAATTTTCATAAATCACGTCTGAAAATTCTAGTCAAATTAATGGATTTTAACCGGATTCAATTCAAGGGTTTTTTTTTATTATTATTTTATTTTTATATTCAAGAAATTTCAAATGAAGAGAATACACCTTAAATAAGTATCCATGATCATAGAGAAGCAAGTATATATATACATATACTCATATAGTGATTAAAAAAAATAATTCAAAAGTATGTTTGAAGCCGTTGAAGGTAGTTGAATTTTCTTGAACAATTGATAACTTGTAAGCTTGAGAAATTGATCAATAATAGAGGGCCTTGTATGTTGGTCGTCCCTCCATCAATTAAAATCAAATTTAGGGTTTTGCCCTAAAAGGTGATCAAATTCCTTCCCCACTAAAAGTGTCCTATCTAACTTTTTAATTATGTTTAAAAAGTGTAAAAATGAGTAAGTTTCTACTTAACGATAGTGCGTTATTAGTGGAAATTATTGACTTGTAAAGTTGTAAGTACTAGTCTTTCTTATGTTAGTATATAATCCAACTACTCCCTACATTCATAAAGTTTTTCTCTCTTCTGTTTTTCAATTTTCGTCTAAGAAATAATAAGACTATACTATATTATGTGTATCTTAGAAAGAGAAAAAAAAAAACAAGGAGTAGCTTTCAATCAATTATTAGTTTTCCTTGATCTACTTATGTACACTTTATTTATATATATATATATATATTTTGCTAGAAACGTCATTAGTATCTTTAAATATTATCAACATATCAAATTCCCTCCATTTCAAGGTTGTTAAATTTTATTAACCTTGACCGTGAATTCAAATCAATATAATAAAAGCTTAATCATGAGTGGCAATCGTATTAGATTCATCTTTATTTACATATATCATTATAATTTCTTATTGTTTTATACATAGATGATAATTTTAAATATTAATAATCAGGGTACGTTCTGCCTTACAAAACCAATTATCATTGCATTATATTTAAAACACGGAGAAACTAATTATACCCATACCTATTATATTCCAATCATTAAGTATATTACTCCAATATAATAAGGCTTAAGTAAGCTTAAATAACAATTATACAAATTGATTAAGAAATAAATTATTCTTTGAGGGGCCGCCGAAAAGTTTGTTTAAACACTCTTCACTTACGTAGTTGTACGTAGACTTGTTTTTATCGTAACAAGACACGTTCAAGTTGCATGTCCAATGAATTGAAATTAGCGGCTTATTAATAAATCAATCAAAAAACGTTGAAATATATAACCTTGTCTAATTTATTTAATTGACGTGTGTGTAAAAATCAGCATGCATTGAATGCATGAAAGAAGAATTGATCAAGTATGAACACGAAAATAAATCAAATTATGCCTTTAAATAATAATAATAATAATAATAATAATAATAATAATAATAATAAATCTTACCAACCAAAGAGAATTTTTGATGAAGACAAATAGGTGGCCTACATAATACATATACATATCCTAATTACAAGTTTTTAAGGGCTTTGCACATGCTCATGCAACTAATGAATTTTACGAATTTTGATGTATATATATCCATAGTCAACTTGTTTGGTAATTGTTTTTTAACCTTAATTAATTAATTCTTATTGACTTGTGGTTTTTCTCTTTAATTTCGTATGTGCTAGTTTACACATGTATAATTAAATAATACATGTTGGCCTCAAAAAAAAAAAAAAAAAAAAAAAAAACATGGAGGCTATGTTTGGATAATGCATTTTTAATAAATAGAACAAACTTTGTTTATGGCTTGTTGATTTATTATTGAAAATGATGATGAACTAACTATCAATTAACAGCTGAAGTTTCATTACCAAAAAAAAATAAAAAATAAAAAATAAAAATGCCACTTTATAAGAAATTGATAAATATGAGTATATGCATGTACTAGCTAATTCAAACTACTAACACAAAGTACTTCCAATATAACTTGATCAATCTTTCAAAAAAAAAAAAAAAAAAAAAAAATAATAAAAATAAAAGAAAAATAATTTGATCAAACGAACAAGTTACAACCAATATTGACACGAAATAAGCTCTCAATCATCTTTGTTTTATACTATGTATTTATTATTACATGTTTAATCAAGCTAAGTATTAACACACATAACATATAAGTCATTTTAGAAAAATGATGTACTACAACTCTACGAGTAATTAGTTTATCGTACAAAATTCCTCCCTCCTTTGCTAATAAATATTTCAGATTACTAGTGTATATGTTGATTAAAAAGAGCAATAAAGAATTAATACAAAAACATTCCCCTGGTCTTACATATATATCTCCATAACAAAGTATTTTAATTTTTCTAAGTTATGAAATTCTCAACGTGTGCATTAAAATAAGAAAAGCCCTATTTTATAAAGTGAAAAGAATAAATTAGTTAATTGCCAATTGTGTAAAGTATATGACGTCACTTGCCATCACAACTAAAAACATTTAAACACCTAGACGATTCCACAATTCCATTCAATGGGTTTGGATCCTCTAGAGTTCAACTCTATAGAGTTCAATAAATCTAGACCCTCCACAAAAGATCAATGGCTAATATTCATCTTGCATGCATTTCAAAATAAAAAATAATTTAAAACTCTCACTCTCACTCTCACTCTCACTCTCACTCTCACTCTCACAACTCTACAACTCTATAATTTTCAAACTCTAGAGGATCTCAACTCCCATTCAATGAACAATGTTTTACTTCTAGAAGATTTGTAAAAAGTTTTTCTAAGTGTTAGGTAATTCCAATTATATATGTGTTACTATGCCAAATCCCCTAGCTACTTGGGGACTATTTTCACATATCCTGAGAGTGAGGAAGATAACATAATTATGACCATTAATGCATGTTAATAATTGTTTTTATCGCTTTGATTAATGACTTTTCGTATAGTACAAGTGTTAACAGTGAGATTTTCACCAACAATAATACACGAAGTATGGTATTTGATATATTATATTGGTACAACAATTACTTTTGTCAAGCATGACTTTAAAGCATATTGTGCGTAGTAAGACCTAATTTTAAATTGTCATATTAATGTGTTATACATTGTACACGTATACACTTGTGTCAACATTTACATACTACTTATCCTTTCTTTAAGATAAGGAAACCAAGCAGACAACCCGAAAACACTGTTATTTAACATGTCTCTAAAAATAGTCTTTCTCTTGTACAAGAGTACTTCATACGGAGTATATGAGATTATTGTGCAATTTCAAAGAACTGAGATAATATTTATTATTGAGGTAGACTATTAAGAGTAATACTTTTACTAGTAGTACTACAATTCAATTAGTAAAACAAAATAATCCAAATATCTACAGTAATAATAAGTAAGCAAAGATAGAGTGCAAGTAGAATCCATAGACAAAAAAGAGCTCCTAAAAAGGATAATAATGAGAGTGAAAATGACTAGGCTATGACATTTTATGTAAAATTCTCCCAGTAAGTTATGATTTCTGAAAGTCATGGATTTTGAAATTTCTTTTCTAGTGCAGGTATTTTTGGACCCACCCTTGTTTAGCCTTTACCACAAACTCATGTTATTTTGCATGTTTTCGCAATGTCCATGATTTCTGAATATCATCTTCAATCCAAACTTTACCATCCATTCATTTGATCTGCTTCCTTTTCATGTATCTATTTAGCTGATGCTGATCAGCTTGTCGTTTATCCGTCTACTGATAGGCAACAACTCAAACACTCCAACCCACAACCTACGTTTTGTAAGTCTATCTGATATCCATTAACGTATTTGTCATTGCGGACTTGACAATTATTTTCGAATGGAGGGAGTACTTATTAAGCTTATGAGTAAACCTGGGAGTCAAAAAACGCGCATAAGCCACATGTCCTATAACTGATTCAAGTAGTTATTGTGCCACACGGGAGCTAGCAATCCGGACCATATTGAAAAGATCGAACTTTAACACCCGAGAGAGATGTATATGCTCGTAGCCACAAACCCACCCTAGATAAACACGTACAGGTATAATTTAACGCGCCTTTTACAGGCCTCTACACACTCAAGTAGTCAAGCAGCTCTATTTGGAGAAAGATCCCGTCATTCTTACAGGTTCAGGCTACCAACAAGGGCCAAATATGTCAAACCAGTTTATCCATTTTACAAGGTAGAAAATAGAGAATTCTCCTCCATCAAAAGTACAACTGTTGAGAGAACTGACTTCTTGATAGCAAGCAAAGATTACACATCAAACGTGCCGCTACGGTGCTACTTAAATGGGGCGGGGTGAGAAAGCGAAAGATACAGCTATTACTCGTACGAAGGACACTTTGTGAAACCAACTACATTCTTGATTACGAAAGACAGACAATATAAAAATCTCAGACTAAAGAATGCTCTGTGATGTTAATAGCTAGCAGCTCATCACCATCATGGAACTGATCTGATAATTTAAGTAGAAACTTCAAACTTGCACCTACCACAGGAATTTTTGGACTTCTATAGTTGGTCAAGATAAATTTATTACTATGCCCAAACAATCGAGCACCGCTTAGAGAAATTTTTTCTACACAATAACAGTCAAGCAGAGATTAATAGTCTGCAAATCTGTTCCATGAAACTGATTGCTATAACCAGAGAAGAATACAACTCAAAAAAAATTCTGAAAAACCATGTTAAACATGAACTTATTGTAACATGGATTGAGAGAATAAAAGTACTTTCACGATGATGATCAAATCCAGTACGATAACAATTCCAAGCAGTACAACAAACCAAGAAGGCCATGCATGATGATCAAAGTGAACTCAGCAACCTGCAAAGATGATCAAGTATTCAATTAAGAACGTAGTAGACAGCACAAGATACAATAATTGTTCGTCTAGAAAAACTGGACCAGAAGGGCAACTGCCTTCAGCAAGCAAAAGACCAAGGCCTCTATGAGTCTAGTTATTTCAATCTTTTATTAATCACTTTATTTAAGGGCAAATAAATAATAATACTACAAGTAATAAAAAAATCAAAGACAAACCATCACCATTTAAGGTAACGTGACATCTTTTTAGGACACCGCTAACTATACAAGTATACATGACTACTAATCTTGGACAGAAGTAGTGGTTCAAAAGGTATCTTCAAAGAAAACTAAGGTTAAGGCTACCGCTGCATCTGCAACATGCAGCCATATAATAGTTCTTCGGATAGAACTGAAGCAATAAACCACAAAAAGAATAAAAAATCTCTAATATCAATAAGAATGGCCAACTCAGACTACTGTTGAAGAAAGAAGATTTGAGAACAGAGGAAGAAAGGATACAAAATTAATGATCTAAAAGGATGTCACTGCAACTCACTTGCTAAAAGTAATGGTAACTCCAAACCATTACAGAAAACACAACAGATATTTTAGAGGCATGAAGCAAACAGAACCAATGTTGACTACAAACCAAAGCAGGGCAAAGGAGGATACATCTTTGATGAATGTACTATATGAAGGAATTTGATGAATACATCTTTGTCCTTATAGATATTTCAATTACAACCCCCCTCCCCCCCCCCCCCCCCCCCCCCCAAAACCCTCTCTTAATTACAAGTGTAGCTAGTTGCCAGTAATAAGGAGCAGTCTAAGAGCACATGGTGAAGTACCATCCAAATCCTATACTATGTCCATTTCCAAAGGCATACACACCAATCAGGATTAAGTATGAAAATGTAAGTTTTGATCAGAACTTAAACTAATTCACAAAAGAAGTTACATAATTAGCAAGTAATATCTCAGCTCAGAGCAAAATCATCTCACATCTCATTAGCTTCATCTAATATAATGCAGATACACAATCTATGACAATGTTGGGACTATTACTATCACAAAAGAAACATGCCAAATGTGGTAACTGGCAGCATCAAAATATCCAATTTTGCAACTCCTCAATTCTGCTAATAGACATGTTCATTTCTGTAAATCCTCCATTCTCTTCACGACACCGCATGTCAATTCTGCTGTATCCCAAAGAGATCAATTGCTGTCAAGCAAATGATTAATTTTCCTAATAGACCATTCACAACTTTTCTAAATACTGAATCACCCCCCAAGTTGAATAGATCAATAATACATAAATACACTGCAGTACTCCACCAATTTTCAGAATATGTCAAGCAATTGATCAAATTTCCTAAAAAGCCATTCACAGCTGAATACTAAATCACCCCCAAAAAATGGACAGATCAATAATACTGAGTTCACTACAGTACTAAACCTAATTTCGGGCCAAACAAGTCATATCATATGTCAAGCAAACCGAGGAAAAATTCTTTTACGCACCCAGGTGTAATAGAGGTAGGTCCTCTAGGGTAATTTTTTGCTCATTTGATATGTTTTACTCATTTAAAAATTGAGAAATAAAAATATATCAAATCATGAAATAAAAAATTAAATAAATAAATAAAAAAATAATAATAAAAAAAAACAGTTGGGTGCACATAACTCTGGTGCACCTAGGTGCATGTAAGAATTTTCAGAATGAGGAAGGCTGCACTAGTTCAATCAGACACATAATCAATAATTAAGATTAATTGCCAATCAGTCAAAGAATAATTTCTCTAATACTCATTCAAAACCTCAGATGTCACTATGTAAATAATAGCACAACTATCATAAATGTCAATTTCAATGGCCTAACGGCTACTACCTAAAATGCTTAAACCACATCGTATGCCAACGTTTAGCCTTAATCTAGCACAGAACAAACTATACTTGACACTAATATTATTCACTATATTTAATTTGACCAAGAGATAAAAAAGTTCACTGATTGAATCCTAGTTGACTTCATTAAATCAGGGAACATTACTAAATTAGTCATCAAAGGCCATCACACCAATCCAACCAATGATTATTTTAGAAAAAATGGGCTGACCAAGGAGCAAGAGTGTCATGAGAAAAAAAAAAGTGCTTTCTCCTTGCAGCCATGTCTACCTAACAAGTTAAAATTTTAGAAGAAAAGATCTGCCCAAAATGAGGACGAGACACAAGGGCACAAATGCAAAAATGCACAGATTGCCAAAAAGCATTCGCTAATGGTTTAGGAGTTCAGCACCATTAATTATGCCAATAAGCAGACTCTTCAACTTCTCAAAGTTTGCCAGCGAATGTAGAAAGGCATCCTCAAACCCAATGGTCCAAGATATTTACTGTTTGTTTGCCATAGTAGCGACTTTGAAATTCTTGTACAAACCAAAACAATTCTTGACAAAAGGAGGACTCTGTGGGATGACACATGCATATCATCAGTAGACAAGGCATTACTTTTGCTTTTTAACAAATTAAATGCCGTTTTGAAGTTAATTATTTTTAAAAACTACTTTGAAAACTCTTGATCAAACTACACAACTTCATAATAAAAGGCTTAACTCCAAAAAATGATATATGCATTAACCTTCTTACTTCACTTCACCCAAGTTACTACGACATTGCAACAAGTCACATTGTAACAGAGAATTTACTCAACAATGAAGCAAGAATTGGCATGAAAAAGAAAGTAATTTTCCCACAATATCATTACAAATATACCACAGGCATGAGGCATCTCAAGTCCATATTGGCCGAAAAGCCGAAAAGTTTTCCTTCCTAGCCTGATAAAGAAATTATGTAGTTTCACAGTCAATAACATCTAGTATCCTAGGTTCCTAGCCTTAATCATAACTATTCTTAACACAGACTTTTATACCCACTCTATATATTATCCTCATCTCTAGATGAACGCTGAAGTACTGTACAGATATGACAAAATAGCACCATTCTGGTTCCCCAATTCTTCTACTATTTTACATGGCAAAACCATTTTGGACACAAATTCTGTTTTTTAAATGGACAAAGGTAGAAAAAGAGCTGTTACTTGGAATATTGTGAAAAAATAATAATAATAATATGAGTCATCCAGAAAATTTGTTGTTTCTAATTTGATAAAATTCCATCATCCATTTTGTTTGCACGGTTCCACAACAAATTATTTCTATAGACATTTACAATTTACCAACAGAAAACTTCAGCTCACATCACCTGCTATTTGCCTCCTTTCTTTGGCCTTTGGCAGCTTAATAATTTCCGTAGGTTAAGAAATTTTTAAAAAAATGCTAAAGAAGAGGTACCTAAGGTAAATGACATAAAATTGTAAACTAAACAAATTTTATTGGGCTGGAAAACATAGCTTCCCTATCACCGCTCTATTATGTTTATCCCCCTAGCATTTTTGAGTGAGCACAAGAAGTAGATAAATGCATTAGTAGAGTTTCTTAGCTTCTCAGCGAACAAAAGCCCCAAGTTATACCTACAATTTTTTCTTTTTCATCAATTGATGCTACAGAAATCAGATCTTTGATATATCTGTCAACTTAACACGGGCATGATTGGCCTAGGTTTTCACAAACAGATATCCATTAAAATTGTCATTCTTCACTCTTCCCTTTCCTTCTCCCAATCCCCTATTTCCCTACGGTTGGAAACACACCCAATTATACAAACTTAAAACAAGAACGAGACAGTTTGGAAGTGAGCTTTGATATGATTCTCCAGATGCAACACATATGGCAAATTCATCTGGGTAACTTTTGAAAGGCCAAGTACTATAGTTTCCCATATATCATGCTTTCAATTGTCTTCAACTATCCAACACTAATAGGTATGTAAGCGAAAATTAACCGTGCAGAAAGGGAATATCAAATTCAACTAAATTTTGATTCAGTTTATAACACTGCCAAATTCTAGGTCCATTAAATAATTCAAATCATTACAAAAACAAGAAAATCAACAGAGGCTGGATAACAATATCCAAGCAAATGCATATTTCATGACAACTGACAAGCAATTCAATACGATTCGATCCTCTTGTACCAAATGGGAATGCAGATTTCAGAATAACTAAAACAATATTCATTGAAAATTCATCTTGCTACCAGAAACACCTAATCAGATCATAACAACAGAACAAAACCCTAGAAATAGCATAATTAAATACAATAACATCGAAAACCCTAAATTGACACCAATCGAGACATTTAACCTAATTGACGAATTCACCCAAAACTCAAATCGATCTAATCAACAATAAAACGCAAAATAAAACCCTAATTTAGCAAAAAACAACAAAATAAAAAAGAGACGATCGGAAACATACCCAATCAAAAACGAAGAAGAATTAAGCATTAGCAGTTTTGGGAATAAGAGGGATGGATTGTCCCTGTTGATTCTTCTGGCCTTCGCGAAGTTTCTGGGCAAGAAGCATACGTTCCATGACGAGTTCATACTCACACTTCTCATAAACATGGCGCTCATCTTCGCACTTCCATGGAAGGTAAAACTCGGATTGTCTGCATTTGTTGAGAGGGATCAGAAGATGTGCGCATTGATCTCTGTAAGGGATTGGAACCTTGTTTTCCACCATTTCTTGTTGGGTTGCAATCATCTTCTTCGATGAACCTGGAACCTCCATTTTCTCTCTCCGCTTTCTTTCTCTCTCTTCTTTTTAGCTTGCGGCTTCTTTGTTTCGTTTCCACAAACGCGAGTGTTAGCAAATACGGAGAAACAATGGTACTGTTTGGTAAAAGTAGCGGTAGCGGGTAGCTTTTAGCGGTCGAGTAGCGAGTAGTTTTTAAGGTAGCGAGTAGCGGTCAATTAGTAGTGGGTAGAGGTTAGCTGTCAAAGTAACGGTTGATAGTATGAGTGTTTGGCAAAAGTAGCGGTTGCAATACCAAAATATATCAAAATTCATATCAACATTGTTTTAAAATTAATAAAAATTTGTCAAACGCTAACCGCTACTTTTAAACGCTACTATTTTTAACGTTTGAGAAAAGCTACATAAACGTTACCTCTATCGCTAACCGCTACTAAAATTGCTACCTTGCCAAACACTCTCAAATTTTTTCTAGTAGTGTTTTGACTGGTCAAAACGCTAACCGCTACCTCAAACGCTATTACCAAACAGGGCCAATGTCAATAGATCAATTCCCTTTTTTTTATTTTTTATTTTTTTATTTTTTATTTTTAAGAATAGGAAATAATGTTATTTGTGTGTTAAAAAGTGAATGCCTAGTTGCCTACAGGGCGACATAATTCGGCCCGAGTTTATCACCTGCATAAGAAGTCTATCAAATGACATTATTGTAAATATTTTGATTTTCATGATGCAATAATAAAGACAAGTTTCTTATCTTTTTACATGGTTAGTCTCTCGTTAAATAAAATAAGTAATTAACCAGTGTGAAAATGAGAGTAAATAGAATGTTAACATTCATAAAGAATTGATCTTTCAAGAAATTAAACTTGTAATAACAATCCCAATGAATATTGCAAATTACTAGACCCCGAGCCTCGCATTGACTAACGTTTTCTTATATGATGAAGTTCATAATGCTTGACATATGAGAGCTCAATATATATGAATAAATGCAGGATGGTTATAGGCGTATCAACATAATAGAATAACCACCAACCAAACTTAGACTCATTAAGCAAATGTAAAATATTGAGACTAGAAGGCCATCATAGAATGTTTTCGTCAAGGGCAATAATCATTAGCATGACAACCAGATAAAATAAAAGATATGTTGTTAATTCTCATAAAATCTATTGAATGAAGATTAGTCATGTATAAGTCAATAATAAAAACATATTGAGATTGCAATGGATGGGATATATCCCTCCCCCACACCCCAAAAACAAAAAAGCTCCCTATAGATTGTGTTTGGGTCCAATTTAGTCAAAATTGGGCCTGAGCACTAAATGATCCAATTAAAAGCCCAAGGTCAAGGTTCAACTCTCCAATTGCTCAAAAGTCAAAAGTCAGCCCACAAAGTAAGCCAATTGGGCTAAAGCCCAATCTCTCCATGTATGATGAGGTATAAAAGCCATCATATTAACACATTCAAGGAGAGAGAGATTCAGATTCACATTCCAATTCATATGCTCATTCTTGCATTCAGAAATATTCCACAAAAGCCTCAAGCTACAAACTCTCTTGCATAGTGTCTTCCTTTTACACATTGTACTGACTTTAGCATCGGAGGGGCCTTCCTCGGAAACACCCCCGAGGCTAGTTTACGTGTGTTCACTGTGCAGGAAACCTTCGGCCCAACACAACTTGGATCGAATCCAGTCTTCTCCATTTCAGTGGACCTTCGGCAAGGTCCCATTGTTTTCAACCGAAACAATTTGGCGCCGTCTGTGGGGAAGACTTTCAAAAATCTTTAAGCCAAATTCCTAACCAAGATCATCTTGCAATTATCTTAGCAGCCATGGCTAAGAACCGCAAGAGCAAAAGCCTCCGTCAAGGAGCGGGCGAAAAGCCTAAAACCCCTACACCATCGCCCTCGCCGGACCGGAACTCTCCCAAGGGTGCCGGCTCGGGGGGAGGATCACACAAGGAGGATTCCCTATCTCCTATAATGCATGACTCTCAATATAGGCCGGACCACTCTCGGTCTAGCAGGGGTTAGTCTGATCATAGGACATATTCAGTGTCCCAAAGCCAACCATCGGCTGCACGGCCTCATTACCACACTCGGCCGGGGACCCCTTTGACGGGGCCCAGTTCGGAAGAGGTGGCAAGAGCGCTGGCAGTACTCATGGAGGCAATGAGGGCACAGAATATGCCACCGCCTCGTGATCGAACTCCTCCGCATACCCGGCATCAGCGGAGGAAGTTAGACCATGACGGTGGGAAGCTTCCTTCCTTCCGGGAACTGGAAGAGTGGGAGGAGGATTCTTGGAAAAATGAAAAACAGAGGAAAAAGAACTCTCAATTATTAAAAGGATCCTCATCCTCAAGACCAGCAGCGCATAAGAGCAGCAGCTCAGCTTCTCGGCCAGAATCTACTCGCCGGGAACCCGAGACTGCTCGCAGAAGCGTCCTTGACCGACTCGGCGGCCAGGAACCGAGCGTGCGTAGTCGCCTCTCGTTCCCTGCAGCCGAGGCCCAGACTTCCCAGCCAGGGACGAAAACCACTCCTACCTCTCTAAGAGGGCGGAGCGCGGTCCCTTCGGCCAGGAACAAGGGCAAGGCCATTATGCTACCCGCTAGTTCACCATTCGAGCAATGGATACTGGAAGAGCGCGTACCCACGGTTAAAATACCGTCGCATATCACATATGACGGGACCACGGATCCGAAGGACCACGTGGCCTCGTATGAGACTCATATGCATCTCTGCCCCAGATCCGAGGCGACTTGGTGCAAATATTTCCCAACCACTCTCAAGGGGGTCGCGCAAGCGTGGATCTCAAAGGGAGTAAGGCAAGGCTCCATAACAGGTTGGGATGATCTGTCCTCCAAGTTCAGGAGCAAGTTTTCCACGGCAAACCGCCGAGAGAAGACTACCGCAGAGCTCATGAGTCTGCAACAGGGGGAAACCGAAAGCCTCCGAGACTACCTGACCCGTTTCAGTAACGAGTCATCAAGCGTCTCTCAGCTGGACCAGGGGCTAGCTGTTTTTGCAATGCAGAATGGCCTTCAGCCAGGAAAATTCCTAGACTTCATGGTCATGCATACCCCGCAGACCTTGGAGGAAGCTCTTAGTGCTTCGGATAAGTTCATCCGAGCCGAAGAATGGAATAAAGCAAAAACCCAACCTCAATCCGGGGGAGGGAAACAGAGGCAAATACCTTTGTCTGAAGGCCAAGGCCATAAGGCAAAGGGAAAATCAAAGGCTCCGGAGCCATCTCCGGCCAACGACCTAAAGAAGGACAGGTTTGCCTCATACACAGGCAGATACGAGTCCTACACTCCACTCTCTCTTCCACGCGCCAAAATTTACAGTGTGACGAAGGAGGAGCAGAGTTACCGAAAGCCGAGACCACTCCCAGAGTGGTATCAGCGAAAAAATAAAAATCAGTGGTGTGAGTTCCACGAGTCTTCGGGCCACAACACTGAAGAGTGTATCCAGCTGAAGGACCAGATAGAGGACATGGTCCGGAAGGGATACTTGAAAAAATACATCGCGGATCACCGCGAGAAAAAAGAATCCGAGAGGCTAGCAAAGGACCCTCGGCAGGACCTTGATTTCCCCCGGAAAAACAGTAAAAAACCGGAGGGGAAATTCCCTCCGATCAATGTTATCTCGGGAGGAATATACTCTCGGAGGGAGCACAAGCGTCACCTTAGAGCTTTGACTCACCAGGTGAACAACGCTGACATTCAATCTCCCCAGTCGCCGGTGCCGAACATGACGTTCACAGCCGCCGACTGCCGGGGGATTACGTTCCCTCACGAGGATCCGTTGGTGATCATCGCCACGGTGGCCAACCACGACGTCAGTAAGGTCCTTGTTGACGGTGGCAGCGGAGCAAACATTCTTTTCCGAAAGGCCTACAACCAAATTAAGCTGAAGCCCAAGCACCTTACGCCGGTACCCTATCCGGTATCCGGGTTCAATGGGGCTTCAACTTATCCAGATGGGAAGGTGACGCTTCCTATCACCATCGGTTGCGATGAGGAAGCCCGGAACGTCATGATTGAGTTTTTGGTCATCGACGCTCCTTCAGTGTACAACGTGATTTTGGGGAGACCCATAATTCACGAGATCCAAGGGGTCATCTCAACTTATCATCAGCTGATGATTTACGTCTCAGACGCCGGCTTCCCCGAAAGGATACAGGGCAACCAAAAGGACGCCCGAAGGTGCAACTACCTCAAGCCATCCAGTAGTCGCCCAGATAACGACAAGGATGAGGAGGAGAAAGAAAAAGAAAGAAAGCCAAGCGCAAAAAAGCTGAAAGGCCTAAGTGCTTCGGCCCAAGGATCCGTGCCCAGAGAAAAAGGTCCCGAAAGGGAGAAGGTTGACTCTTCAGCTGAGCCGCAAGACTCAGAGAGCCAGCCGAAGAACACAAAGACTGGGACACCTGCTGACATTGGCAGCAGACCAGATTCTGAAGAGTCCAGTCCCTCGGCAATGGACATGGACCAACAGACTGAAACAGTTGGGTTGGCCGAAGGAGATGCTGAGAAATGTGTAACAATCGGGATGGACCTTGATCCTAACACCCGTTGTGAACTTATTCAGCTCCTTCGGGATAACAGAGATGTGTTTGCTTTCTCGGCAGCTGATATGCCCGGGATAAGTTCAGACCTCATCTCCCATAAGCTTAATGTTGACCCAGCGTGTCGACCAGTTAAGCAAAAGAAGCGGAACTACTCCGCCAATAAGAACCGAGACATCGCAGCCGAAGTCAAAAAATTATTGGAGGCAGGGTTCATTGAACCTTGCCAATATCCGGAATGGCTGGCAAATGTGGTGATGGTTCAGAAGCCGAATGGTACCTGGAGGATGTGCGTTGACTTCACGGACCTAAATAAGGCTTGTCCAAAGGATTTCTATCCCTTGCCAAGAATCGATCAGCTAGTCGATTCGACAAGTGGCCATGCCTTGCTTAGTTTCATGGACGCATTCTCGGGGTATCATCAGATCTTTATGCACCCCGACGATCGAGCCAAGACAGCATTCGTCACGAACGCTGGGGTGTATAATTACAAGATGATGCCCTTCGGATTGAAAAATGCGGGGGCAACCTA